TGTTTCAGCTCCAGTTGGGGAAACAGTCTTCTGCCTTTGGTGAAAAGGGGAAAGTGTGAGTCTGTTTCGTTACAGAGAACAAACTGATGGTTGCCAGACCAGAGTGGGTCTGCGAGTTGGGTGAAAAAAGTAAGAGGGTGAAGTACAAATTGGCGTTTACAGAATAGTCATGGGCATATAGAGTACGGCAGAGGAAATATAGTCGATGATATGGTAACAACGATGTATGGTGCCAGGTGGGTATTAGAGGTATGGGGGGAAATCACTTCATAAATTCTATAAATGTCTAACCACTATGCTGTATCCCTGGAACTCATATAAAAAATATTGAATATCAACTGCAATTTAAAAATAAAATAAGTAAAAAAGAAAAAAAAATTAAAAAAAAAATCAAAGGGACCACGTGCTCTCAGTTGCAGGAGAGTTGACTTATATAGACAGAAGTCCCTGCCCCTGGTCCCTGATTGGTCCATCCTCATGCAAATGAGGACTCCAGATCCTCACAGTTCGATTGGTCTGAAAGGTACTGTCCTGATTGGTCAGAAAAGAGCCACTCTGATTAGTCATTGAAGATGCTAATGGAGGTGAGGGGTGCAGAATATAGCTGTGTAGCTCCACTGGACAGGGAAAGCCTCAGTCCTGTTGGTGGACATAACTCCAGGAGCTCCTTTTGATGGCTGGTGCGGATGGCAGGAACACAAGGCAGGCAGGCTTCTTCTTGAAGTGTGTTTGCATGAGAGGCCCCTGTGTAGAAATAGCTGCTAGGCTTTGCTTTTAAATTTGAGCGCAGCTGGCCACCAGGGCCCTGCTCAGTAGGCATCTCCTTTTCTGGGTCCGCAGCTCTGCATTATGGCAACACACATATCCCGCCCCTCCGCACCCCCCCCCCCCCCGGAGTTTTGTTTAGCTGGTTCCCCTGGTCATTTGGGATTTTTTTCCTTCTGGTTGGGAGACTCTCATGAAGCCTATGATCTGAAGTGAAAGGAAGAGACGCAAACTCCTCTCTTAAGAAAATGAGACATTTCCTACATTGTCATCACACAGAGTAAAAACAAAGTCCTCACTGTGGCCACAAGACCAGTCTCCCCCACCTCCCTCACCCCTTATTGCTCTTCATAGCATGTGTCCCCTAAACATACCTAGATCTTTGCGGGAATAATTTTTGCCTCCCAGCTGAAAGGTCAGTTCCATACAAACGAGGATTTGTGTCCAGTTTGGTCACTGCTATAGGTCCAGTGTCTGGCACATAGTTGCAGCTCAATCTGCATTGAGCATGAACAAATTTGAGAGCCTTTGGTGGCAGACAAGAGGAAGGATTATTGTAGCAACACTTCAAGAGCACATACTGTGGACCACGTGTTATGTTAAACTCTGTATAGGTGGAAAGACTAGCATTTATCCTAATTTTACAGATGAGCACACTGAGACCTAGAGGTGTTCAACACCTTGCCATAGACCTACTAAGTGGCTGAGCCTACACTCAACACCTGGCAGCTTAACCACTGTGATGGGACCTCCAGGCAACGATATAACTTTGTACTTGAGTTTCAACCCTATCTATTCAGGAAATGACTCTCGGTTAGCCCCAAACCATCTACAGAAGTCTGCCACATGCAACAGCCTTAAAAATAAATAAAATTTTTAAAAATTTGGGAAAGAATGGGACCCAATAGAAAAAAAATATGTAGGCAAGAACAACTTCGTGTTGGGAGGTTTGGAGCTGGCGGCAGGAAGCCAAGTGGGAGTGCAGGGAGCATTTGCCTCGAGCGTGGGGGGCGGGGACAAATTATTGAGCAGAGGTGTCAAAAATAAAGGATGGAGCCCAAAGGGCTTGGGGAGAATCAGCTATCCAACAAACATTGATTGAGCACCGTCTGTATGCCAGGCACCACTGGCCTAGCTGGCCTTGGGTCTTCCCTCACCTATCCCTCTACTTCAGAGGACCCAAGCGATGGCCCTGAGGAAAGATGGCAGTTCTGCAGAATGCCTTCAAGGTACTGAGCTAAAAGAATATTCCGGGCAAAAAAGACAGATGATTGAAAAATGCAGATTATTAATCGGAGTGGGAGATTCACAGGGGACTGAGGAAGGGTAAGATTCTTGTGGGTGTGGCCCGAAAACAGGGCTGTCGGATGCTTGGCAGGGAGCCGTGACGGCAGGCCAGAGGTAGGGCCATTCGCGTGTCCTAAGTCCAGATGGCCTGGATCGCCAGGAAGGACCAGAAATTCATGTAGTTAAGGTAGGAAAGGAGACCTGGGGGGTGGGGGAAGGAAGAGAACAGAGAAGGTGAGACGCGGAGTTCATGAGCCCAGCCCTGAATCCCAGTCCTCTCCCGAAGCCCGACCGCACCCCCTTCCCTGTCCCCAAGCCCATCCCTAAACTCAAACCCAACTCCTTCGCCTACACTTTCCCCAGGTCCCATCTTCAAACCCAAACCTCACCTTTCTCCTCCCCTGTCCCCCAACCCAACACCATTCCCTACCCTGTCTCACTGTCCCAAACCCATTCTCATCTCAGACCAATCATCAGGAAGAAGAAGATGGCAGTCCACGCCAGGTAGAAGCTGCGCCCCAGCTTGTAGGTCATGCCCTCCTGCAGGTACTCATGGGCCTGCAGCAGGTAGAACAGGATACTCAGTATCATGCTGGTCCCTGCATGAATGCAGGTGTTAGGAGGCTGGGCAGCAGGCATGTGAAGACCCCTGCCCATAGTCGTGTGGCCACCCAGCTCTTGCTCATTACTTTCTCACTTCCTTTTGCTGCCCTGTCCCTCTGCTCACAAGCAGGATAATAGGCTCCTGACAGTGTCATGGTAGATGACATTGGAAGTGCAAGTCTTGGCGATGTCTAAAGCCCCAGGCTCTGGGGCCAGTGGACTGGAGCTCTTGCCTTGCCTCTGCTTCCCGCCTTTGGGCAGCTGCTCCATCTTTCTGAGCCTCATTCCCCTCGTCTGTAAAGAGGGCATAATCATAGGAGCCATCTCCGTGGGCTATCACGAAGAGTCATTGAGATTGGCACATTTCCTGGCAGACCACCAGTGAGCCCTCGAGAATCAAGACTGATTATTATTATTATATTGGGTCTTTAATTGGTGGGGGGTGGGGGAGGGCTGCTGAAACACTGGATGAGGAACTCAGTCATCTCAGGTATTTTCATTGTATCCTGAGATGACATGAATTAAAGGTAATTTGTGGAAAAACTTGTTTTTTTTTTGTTGTTTTTTTTTTTCAGGGAGTGGAGTACCGGGTAATTTTTTTCCTTTATGTTATTGAAAAAATAATAGAGGAAGTATTTTTCATTGAATTAAAAAGGGGACTGGACAGAAATGATTTTCTCAGAGAAAAACGCCCTAGTTCAGATGACATAAAACCAGGGCGTTTTCCATCCGAGGTACCTTGCATTTAAACCGTTGGGAAGAGCTAACAGACAACCGAATAAATATCAGTCACTAACAAAGAAATAGGAAGTTGAGTGGTCTCTCTTCTTGGCCTTACTACCACTCTCCAAGAATGTTCTGGAAGCAGTAGTCAATGACTGCAAGAGAACACAATATCCGCTTCATCTCTGAATTGAAGTGCCCCCTCCCCTCGCCTTCTTTTCTCAAAAGTGTGATTTGTCATGCAAATGAGAAACTAAACTCCTCTAATCAGGATATAGGTTCTGAGTGATTTAGTGGCCCCGTGGAGATGACCACGGTAAAGGCATGTGCAAAATAGCTACCGTCAGGTACCGACATTTTCTAGCTCAATCCTCAGGACATGTCTAGGGTAGGAAATAGTATCCCCACCTGACAGATGAGAAAACTGTGGCTCAGAAAGATTCAGTAGCTTGAACGAA